CTTACTCATCGACCACCTTCAAATGTTTCGTTGAATATATAAATACTATCAAGCGATATGGTACAGTGGATGTAGATTCTCCTTGCTTAATTAAAGGTCTCTGATTTTAGTCCTAGGTATGAGAAAAATCCTTTTGATAGGAAGTATTTCTACCCTAAGTGACGCGAATTCAGAATAGTTAAATTCCAATATAGATATCGAACACCAGATGAAAAAAAAGAAGGAAATTTACTCATGTAACACTAATAAATAAATAAATAAATCACTTATTTTTCAAAAAATATTTTTATTCATACTAAACACACCACTAATTAATGATAATAAATCAAAATTCAATAAGCATCACATTTCACTTTGTAAAATAGTTTAATTAGAATCTTCAAGCATGTGACTTTTAGTATTTGGTTGATGACCATTTCTTTACACACAAAAAAAAAATCTACTTTATACATAGAAATTATATTTATTTTATAATAAAAAAGGTAGTTATATCTTATCCAAGATTATGTTCTAAAGAATTGTCTTTGTACGTCATAAAGGAATCATTTTACCTTCAAGTATCATTGACCACTTGACAACATTATCTCTATATATCTTCTTTTTTTCCCCCTCTCCATTTACCTTTTTGCCGGCCATTTCCTTAATTAGAAAAAGAAAATAATTTCACACATTCTTATAATAAAAAAATATAATGCTTAAGTGAAGAATTTGAGAACATTGTTATATATATTTTAAAAACCTTTTTTTTTGGGGGGGGGGGGTGTTAGTAGAAAGCACATGCAACCAGTCGTGTGCACTATGTTATAGGCAATAATTAGTATATGTAATATAATTATAGCGACGATAATAACATATTTGGTGTGAATTTAAAAAGAGTGGTATGTATTTTTAACCCTACCTTCTAAAGGTAGATAGATTGTTTTTAATAGATTCTCGACTCAAATACTAAACCATAACAAAATATCAGGTTAGGCAAAAACAAAAGGGGGGAAGACATGTCGAAAACATGGAAGAAGAAAACAATTGTAATAACAAATAATATGATAACTGAAGCAAAAAAATCAATAGGTAGTAATAATTAATTCGAAGAATAAGATACAATGTCCGCCGATCTACTTTCAGTTTCAATCCTCATCTTTTATATCTTTCTATCTAGGGTTATGTCTCCTGTACGCTTGCATCTACCGATCTACTCATACAATCACCAGAGCAAACTTCTCACACTTCTTCACTAAAATATTTGTACATCTCTTTTTTACATGTTCAAACTATGTCAAACTCATCTATCTAATTTTATTCATCACAGAAGCCACCGTTAGTCTACCTAGAAATTATTTCATTAAAATGGTATCTAGCATATGTCAAATGTATCGATAGGCCTTATGAATCTATCTCCTTATCTTTTGGAACATATCATAACCAATAAAAGATCCTCCACCACTAGTAAATTGATCTTTTCAAAAATGTATCCCCCTTTTAATTTATAATATATAGTTTATATTCACAAATTGAACCCTAGTTGCAACTTAATTAATTAGTACTAGCTTTTACCAGTTAGACGAATTGGTCACGTTTGATATGAAATAGTATATGCAATTGTGCATACAGACTTAAAAGTATGTGATAAATATGATATCACAACTAATAAACTATTTTTCGATCGGTAATATTTATTGTGTATTTACTAATGATATAAATGTGTTTTTACACTTGATACAGATCAAAGTGGCTTCGTTCCATTTATTGTTTTTTATAACCAAAAAATAAAACATATATTACGACATTATGTATCTTTATAGTAGATATATAAAATACATGTATCTCTATATCTAAAAACACTAGTAATGAGCACTTCGAGATGATAATAAATATCTGACATACAAATGCGATATATGCTTTTGGGTGTTAGTTCCCTTAATTAAAATGTTTCACTTACATATATACCGCTTCATATGCGTCTCGATCACATGCACATACCATTAAAATCAGATATTATATTCATGTACATACATGGAAACCTAGCTTCTGATCATAGTTAATTTACAAATTAATTAAACATTTACAATTACAAGTGGGAAATTAATTAATTTGATATATATTCTGTCATGTTGATGAAGGAATTTGAGACATAGCACAGATTCCATTTATCACAAAGCTTTGCTGTATATCATCAATATATATTATTGGTTCCAACTAAAATATTCCATGAATATATCAGAATATGAAAGGCAGCACCTCAAATATCAAAAACCCTAAGCAACTTTGTCTAAAAAGGGGAATTAATAATTCATTATTTTTTTGGGCAGCTTTCACATATAGCAAATAAAAAATTCATATTTATATGTTATAGCAAAGTTTGCATAATTGCGCTCCATAGCAAACATATATACAGTTGAAACAAATTGTATAAAACGAAGTGCATAAAACAAGAAAGAGAAAGACACTTGAGCAGAGAACTGTATAAAAACGAAGTGTATAAAACGAATTATATTATTATAAGTATATAGAATGATTATATACAATATGAATTTGTATAAAATGAGAAAGAGAGAAAGACAAAGAGACTTGACAAAGAATATACAATTGAGTCGAATTGTATAAAACGAGAAAGAGAGAAAGGCAAAAGAAACTGGATAGGAGAGTATTTTTATTGTATAATTATAAGTGTATAGGACGAAAATACATGTATTTATACAATTTTCTCACGCTTTATACAAACAAAAACACAATTTATACATTTTGCTTCTGTTTGTATAAGTGAGAAAGGCGAGGGTGGCGAGCGAGATTTGGGAGAGTGGCGAGCGACATCTGGAAGAGGGGAGAGAGGGGAACAAAAATATATGTATTTATACAATTTTCTTTGCTTCATACAATTAGAAACAATTCTTATACACCTGTGTTTGTATAAAAAGTGAGGAAGCGAGTGAGAGATTGGAGGAGAATGGCGAGCAAGATATTTGGGAGAGAAGCGCCTGACAATTTTTTACAAATGTTTGCTACGGAGCACATTAAATCAAACCCTAGCTACTCTATTTATTTTAGGTTATTAGTTTGCTATTATATACAATTTTCTTTTTTTTTTAATTATATAGTTAAGAGATTGATTATTTCGTAAGACATATAAATTAAAATTAAAAAAAATGTAATAATTAAGCGTCAAATTTACAAATTACAAAATATATTCAATATATTTTTGGATTTTTTATTTCATCATCAAGAAAAAACAAAGTAGCTAGGTCAAGACAAGATTTTTAGCTTTTGATTACTTTGAGGATATCTAATGTCTTAAAAGCAACTTTCCTTTTAAAAGTTTGTATCTTTTAGGAAAACTTCTAACTTCGTTGCTAAGTTACACTTAAAAGAAGAAAAAGAAAAGAAATTGAGATCAGTCTGGTGTATTAAGTTTTCGTTACACTGATTCAGATAAGAATTTCATCACAATATATAATCATTGTAATTTAATCACAGATTTTCTTTCAAGGTTGAGATAGTTTATAAATTTTATATGATCTTAGATATGTATTTATCACTTCATAACCTAAGTTTTGAGATTGAGTTCGATCAGAGGTCCAATTTCATCATGATATCAATGTGAGATTCATCATTATTCTTAGTTTTCCCTATATGATATATGTTGGGGTCTTATATCATATGTATTATATTGTTCATGCTTCAATTAGCAGGTCTGGATATTAAAGGAGTTTGTAAGTTCACATATCGGATTCTTTAAAATAAAATAATCTTTTTATATGATTTTTTAAATTTTGACTTTAAAAATTAGTTTTTATAATTAAATTAGGTCTAAGGATCTACTAAACATGTACAAATAATTGACTTCGATCATATTAAATGCGTTTTTGTAGAATCCAAATGAACACAAAAAGTTTGTGAAACTATACAATTAATCTAATTAATTCCTACATGGATAAATTCGAGTTTACTTAATTATATCTTCCTAATAAAATATAATTAAAAGAGTATTTGAATCAAAATAGAGTCAAATTAGCTAGCATATGAAGAACTCAAAGAAAAGGATGTATAATAATTTTGACAGATTCCAAACAAGTGGAATAATTTATCTTTAATTAAGATATATTCAGAACAATGTTAATTACATATGGGCCAAAAGAAAAAAATTCTTCTTTAGGCAGATTTTTTTTTTTAAAGTGGTATAGTATTTATATTTCTTTTTCATACTATTTGAAGTTTGAACAGTGGTCAAGAAGGTCACTACCAAAAAAATAAAATAAATAAAAAAATTAGCGATGAACAAATTCTATCCAAAAATAGTAAATATTCGTCACTGATCCTATTTAATTAGAAATTGATGAATACATTATTAGTTACCAGCTATTTAGCGATAAATATCATAGCTAGGGCGAAATATGAACTATTTTCCTTTGTTGGTGCATCTCTACCATCGTTGTTACTCCCTTCGTTTCAATTTATTTATCTAACTTACTTTTTCTTAATCTATTTTTAAAAAATAATGATTGTTTCGTTTGTTGACAGTTCTTTAATTTTAACTTTCCACATGACATACTAAAACACAAGATTTAAATACATTCTAATTAGATATCTTTATATGTTTAAGAAAATAAGATTCAAAAACTTTATTTACTTTCTTAAACTTCGTGTTAAGTCAAATATCATCACATATTAGGATTTGGAATAGAGTACAATAAATATATATATATTGTACAACAACAACATACACAAGGGGAATCTAAGGAGGGGGATTTGTACGCAACCTTATTCCTGTGTTGTGAAGATAGAAAGTCAGCTTCCGAAATATTACATATTAATGTATATATAAGTTTTTTTAAAAAAAAAAATTCTTTTTGACTATTTAGACTCTTTTTTAGTATATGAGTATCACATCTACTTGTAAAAGAATGAAAAAGAAAGGAGAAAAAAAATAAAAAGATATATTCTACAGCTTGCTCCAACTCAAAATAATACCTTCATCCTCCAGCATATAAGGAGCTCAAAATACTCTCTTTTTACCACAAAACAAAAAAAAACTATATATTATATTTTCCCTTCTTGTTCTTCTTGTTCAATTTATTACTAAAAAAATGTCCCAAAATTGGACAACAAAACAAAACAAAAAGTTTGAAGAGGCATTGGTTATGTATGACAAAGACAATAATGGTGAAAAATGGCATAATATAGCAAGATATGTTGGTGGAAAATCAGTTGAAGAAGTTAGAAGGCATTATGATCTTTTGCTAAAAGATATTACTCAAATTGAAAATGGTCAAGTCCCTTTGCCTAATTATAGGACTACTTCTGATCAAACCAATGCTAGAGGTTATGCTAATGAACAAAGGTACTATACATATCGAGTTTAAGTTATATACATCATATCTGTTGATAGCTAGTAATAACTAGACTTTGAATTTGAATTATATACATTCTGATCATATCTGTCGATAGCTAATAATAACTAGACTTTAAATTTCAGTTATATTCATTCTAATCATATCTGTGGAGTAGCTAACAATGAAGTAGACTTATTTTCAAGGTTACAAATCTTCATGCATGTAGATATTCTTTGGCTGACGTTATACATTTTTTAATTATTTGACTATCAATTCTTTGTGTAACAAGATTTAATTAGATTAATTATAAAGAATTTTTATAATGGTTATATACGTTATAAACGGTTAGAATGGTCATGTACTTCTCAATACTGATTCGTATGAAATTAACATGATCGAGCGATCAAATTATTGAAAGGAATCATCGATTTCATAATGTTTTTCATAACAATTTATACTTTTTAGTGATTATTTTATGATTATACAGTTAAATTTTAGAATAGTCATGTGCTTCTCAATACTGATTCGTATGAAATTAGCATGATCGAGCGATCAAATTATTGAAAGGAATCATCGATTTCATAATGTTTTTTCATAACATTTTATACTTTTTTAGTGATTATTTTATGATTATACAGTTAAATTTTAGATAATCTGATAATGTAAAAAACTTTTTACGTTACAAAGTGTAAAGGAGTTAAACTCTAAGTTGTATATCCTTAAAAGGGTGACGATTTGGACATACCGATAAGGCAAAAAAGTTTTAGTATCTTTTATATATTCACCTTTGGCTTGAAATAAAAGCTAACTTTTTTTTAGCAATTATTATTATTATTTATATTGAATAATAGTATTATGATTATTGAACCTAACCAACTTATATAAAATGACTATGAATTATTTTTTTTCTTTGAAATATTGATGTATCATTTAATTATAATCAACACGTCGTAGCATATTTTTCTTATTTACGAAATTTTTTTTACATACATTTATTTTTCAAACGATTATATATACATACTTGTTTGACTAGCATTTGTCATTGATCATCATTATACAATATAATTGATCCTTCATTTTCAGCACAAAATATAGATAATATGAAAAAGTTTAGTCATATAAATATTATAAGTTCTAAAATCATTTTAAAAAAATAAAATCAAGCCTATAATTTTTTAATCCGCCTCACGTCGATATAAATAATAATACAATGTAATTTCATGGATCAGTCTAGGAGGGGATATTACGCAATTTTATTCATATCTCGTAAATATAGAAAAGTTATTTATAATAAACTATTAGCTCAAAAAAAACTTATAAAAAATTAAGCAGATAAAAGAAATATAAAGTCGAATGAAACCAACTAAGAGCAACAATAATTATTAATATTATTAAGGTGATGATATATTAGTTTTTATTAAAAAAATTTAACAATATGATTTTATATTTATTCTGTTTGCAGGCTTCTGAAGAATTTAAAACTACAGTGAGCAGAAATTTGGACTCATAAAAGTCAACGGTCAATGCCATATTTATCCAAATGTGTCATGTTTATAAAATTCCAAAAAATTGGAATCTTTAATTAATTGTAAATTCATGTTTTTAATTAAGTGTTTCTTATCTTATGTATTAATTAAATTACTGTTGCCCAATTAAGAGATAAGAAAAATGTGTACGTAACTTAATGTTTTTTTCCCCTTTAAATGTACCTTTATTTCTGCATAAGTTTAAATGTACCTATAATATATAAATTTGAGAATTTTTTAGCTTAATTGTGTACTTAAGCAATCATTTTATATTCAATTATACAATTCGGGACGATATATATATATATGAACTTTTCATCGACGTATAAATGTTCAAAACATATATTTTTAGTGACTATAAAATTATCAAATTCGAAAATAATTATTTTTTTTATGACAATACGAATTAAATTTTTGCTTTTATATCGACTTTAGAGTACCATAGCATTTCAAAAATAAGGGGAAACATAACTAGCATAGTTCTCTTCTTATTAATTTTTTTCGACTTTCTTTTAAATATGTACCAAGTTAATAATGTCTTCTTTTTCATCTCATACGATCAAATGTCTATTATTTGTGCATTTCATTTATTAAACTACTAAACTATATATTTTTCAGACTCGAATGCACCGTCAAGTATTCTTACTAAAGCCGTCAAAATAAGTCACTATAGTTCAATATATAACAAAAAATGATGATATTTAATTTGGGACAATTTTCACATATAGGAAATAAAAAATTCATATTTGTATGTTATAGCAAAGTTTGTATAATTGCGCTCCATAACAAACATAGAAACTGTATAATTAGTTATACATATACAGTTGAAGCAAATTGTATAAAACGAAGTGTATAAAATAAGAAAGAGAAAGACACTTGGGCAGAGAACTGTATAAAAACGAAGTGTATAAACGAATTGTATTATTATAAGTATATAGAATGATTATATACAATTTGAATTTGTATAAAATGAGAAAGAGAGAAAGACAAAAGAGACTTGACAAGGAATATACAATTGAATCGAATTGTATAAAACGAGAAAGAGAGAAATTAGATACAATTTGAAAATTGTATAAACGAGAAAGAGAGAAATTAGATACAATTTGAAAATTGTATAAACGAGAAAGAGAGAAAGGCAAAAGAAATTGGGCAAGGGAGTATTTTTATTGTATAACTATAAGTGTATAGGACGAAAATATATGTACTTGCACGTGTATATGCAATTTTCTCACGCTTTATACAAACAGAAACACAATTTATACATTTCGCTTCTGTTTGTATAAGTGAGAAAGGCGAGGGTGGCGAGTAAGATTTGGGAGAGTGGCGAGCGAGATCTGGAAGAAGGGATAGAGGGGAACAAAAATATATGTATTTATACAATTTTCTCTGTTTTATACAATTAGAAACAACTTTTATACACTTGTGTTAGTATAAAAAGTGAGAAAGCGAGCGAGAGATTGGAGGAGAGTGGCGAGCGAGATTTATGGGAGAGAGGCGCCTGACAATTTTTTGCAAACGTTTGCTATGGAGTACAATTAAATCAAACTCTAGCTACTCCATTTATTTTAGGTTATTAATTTGCTATTATATACAATTTTCCCTTTAATTTATTATATGGATGACATCATAAAACAAAAAAAAACTTAAATTGTAATATCATCAACATTTTCAAGTATTAGTATTTCTTTTTAGCTTTCGTTTTTCTTTAAATGTTAAAAGGAAAAATTGTATAAAATAGCAAACTAATAACCTAAATTAAATAGAATAGCTAGGGTTTGATTTAATTGTGCTCCATAGCAAACATTATCTAAAATTTGCCAGCGTCTCTCTCCCAGGAATCTCGCTCGCCACTCTCCATTCTCGCTCGCCTCTCTCGCTTTATACACAGAAGTGTATAATTCTATTTCTGTTTTTCTATAAAGCGAGAGAAAATTGTATATACACATGCAAAAATGTATATCTTAGTGTTATACACTTAATTATACAATTTACAAACATTTTACTTCAAAAATTGCAGAGAAAAAGGCCAACGAATTATACAATTGCGAATTATACAATTGCGGTGAAATACAATTTTCTCTAACTTTATACAACATATTGTATGTATTGTGTTTCTATTTTTGTATAAAGCGAGAAAAACATATATCTTTTTGCTATAAACTTATAATTATGCAATATACATATATTTTAATTCGATTCAACTATATGCAAAGCAAATTATACAATTGCAGCGAAATAGGCCAGCGAATTATACAATTTAGGCCAGCGAATTATACACTTGTATATGTATAGCGAATTATACAGTTTTTATGTTTGCTATGGAGCGCAATTATGCAAAGTTTGCTATATTATACAAATATGAATATTTTGTTTGCTATATGTGAAAGTTGCCCAAATTAAAATTAAATAATTTTGGTCAACAAATCGGCCCAGGCCCAACCTAATTCAAATAGGGTCAGTGGGCTAACTTGGTCCATCGGACCAATATGTCTCAATTTCAAATGGGCTCAAAAACTTATAACTAGGCTAGCAAAATCAAATCCAACTCGATCCAATCCATATAGGTTTTGATTGGTTATTAACCTGCCCATTCGTTAGTTGAATCCATTTCAACCTGTAAAAATTGGATTGATATGTAACACAAATAGAATTTTGAGAAATCATGTTAGAATATTTTTGAATTTTATTTTTTATTTTTCATGTTATATATAGTTATATTAAAATGTTCTTCTTTTCTTATTAGGTACTAAAAGCTTATAAAATAACAAATAAAGCTATTAAAACTTAATAAAAACTGAGCAGGTGGAGTTTTAATTCGTTACTGACCTGTTTGACTCAAACAAATTTGGATTGTGTTGAGTCTCGACCTATTTATCGTCTTGATTCATTTTAATCCACCTAGATTTAACTCAACCCATTCAATTATCGCCCCTAAATTTATAACGCAATATAATCCAACTCAAGTAACGAATCGAACGAGGCCAATCATTTTGACGACTCTATAGTTACCTTAATAAGTCTAAGACAAACAAAATACATATATTGATAATCTCTTCCTTTTAGAGAGAGTATCTAATCTTATTGTACATTTTCCTCCTTTTTCTTGCTCTTTTTTGTTTGTTTGTTTGTTTAGTCCTATATTATAACGATTTTTTTTTATTTTCATGGTGTATTAGTCTATATCATGGAGCTCCAATTTTTTTTTATTTTCATGGTGTATTAGTCTATATCATGGAGCCTTGGAGCATGAAAAAAAATTATGATAAAATTTTATGAGGACTTTTGTAATGAGTTGGAAAAACATTATGTATAGTTTCACCATTTTTATAAAATATTTCACATTTATGAGTGATCAATTTTTATGAATTAAGCGATTTTTTTGATTTTTTGTGTGTATTAACGCATAGATAGCGCTTTATAGCATCAAAATTTTATCATGAAACCCTTATTTATGGAGACGTCATTAAATGAGTTAGCGAAGAATTGTGTATATTCTCACCATTTTTTAAAGACATTTCCGCATTTACGAGTCAATTTTTAGGAATTACACGACTTTCTTAGTTTTGCTTGTGTTACTACCCATGGATCTGATGCCTTAAAGAACCCAAAAAAATGAAAGAAATTTTATGAGGACTTTTGTAATGAGTTGGCGAAACATTACGTATAGTCAGTGGTGGAATTAGAAATCTTATTAAACGTATGCAAAAATAATGGTGTGTGGTTGTTAAAATAAAGTACAAAAATATTGAATATTTCGGTTCAAATCCGAATCTCCTTCATTGAATGGACACCCTTTACAATTTCCCCAAATGCATTATTTTTTGTCAAGGATATTCAACTTTAAATATATAGCCTTTAAATGTGAAATTTAACATATATACACAATATAATTTTCTGACGAAGGATATTCAATTGAACACCTGACCGGGTGGCTGTGGTTGTGGCTACGCCATTGCGTATAACCCTACTATTTTTAATGCATATATTCACATTACGAATCACATTTAAAAATTACGTGATTAATTATACACACAAAGACAACACACACATACAAATAGATATATATATATATATTTAGTTAAATCATTCATAATTAAGCAGCGGAGAAATTCTATATCTTCATTAAGTCGTAGAATATATTTTTTGTCGTTAAACAGCCATATATAAATTGACTGATTAAATATTTTTAATATAAAAATATATTCTAATATATAATTCATAATTAAAAGAATTGGTATAAATCTTTTATTCGACCATTATCATAATTTATTTTGTATAAGATTTTATAATACGTGTCACCACCTCCTATCTAGTTAGATTCCCAAGGACACATTCTAAACTAGAAAGCTTGTAAGAATTAATTTCTCATTATTAATATCTATATATATTTGTATTTCTGTTGAACAAGAAAAAACTACTAGAGAATGACCAACAGTATACCATTGAAAACTAAAAAAATCATTTTATATTTCATCTGAAAAAAAAATTAGTTTGAGAAGTTATTAATAATACAAAAAGGTCAAGACAAACCACAAAGGATCCATTTTTTTATTAAATTTATCAAATGATCCATCCCGGTATATTAGATGAAGTTATTTTTTAAAAAAAATTCGAGTCTTAAATATAAAAAAGAATTAATAAAAAATGTGTTTCCTTACCAATAAAATTTTACATAATATAAATTTAAATTAATCATACTTTAATACACATCAAATCACGAATAGTTTGACAGTGTTAAAAAAAAGATACATGTCTTAGACCCCCAAATTTAAAGGGCTTCATTTTTTATAATAATGAATTATAAGTTATTATTTTTTAACAAATATTTGATACTATTTGTAAAAAAAATAAACATTTCATAAAAAATGAAAGAATTATTAGAAGATATTTGACATATTTTGAGTACTATATCTTATGAAAAATAATTTAAAATAAAAATAATTATATCATAAGATGAAAACCAAAAAAAGTAAATTATATAAAAATATTAATAATTTAAATATAAAATCTTATTTAATTTTTACTTTAGACCTCTAATACGATTAAGCCGCTCCGACGTCGAATAAAAAATAAATAACGAAAAAAGGTCAAGAAAGATGGGCATTTAAAAGAGGGGTCTTTGGATGCATGAATGAAAAAGCTAATTTTATATTATATTATTGGCACTATATAATATATACAATTTTTTTTTAATTTGTTAGCATGTGAAGGAAAGGTAATAGGAAGGTACTTGATCAAAATTCATA